ACCATTAGTTTTTGTGTGTTATTTTTTTTATAAATAGCATACTAGTCTCTCATCATTGCAAAAATGCAAATTCTAATTAGGGTGAGATAGGTTATTTGTTATTTTGTAACACTTGTAATCTTGTTTCAAATAGAAAATAAAGAATAATAGTGTATAACCAATTTCATTGTGTTATTCTTGCTTCTTTGTTTCCTACCCTTGTGTGTTTCTTTTTGTTCAAGAAATCGGTTATACTTTGTTATTCCAACATCATTTTTCACAACAAATTGGTGTTGTGAGCATGGAGAAGATGTCGTCAACTAAGTATGAGATTGAAAAGTTAACTGAAGTGAATGATTTGGGTCTGTGGCTATTGAAGATGTAAGCCCTACTACTTCAACGGGGTTGTTTAGAAGCATTGAAGGGAATCACAATCATTGATGTTGCATTAACGAAAAAAGAAAAATGACTATGGTATAGAAAGCCCACATCGCCATATTATTGAGACTTGGTGATAAGGTTCTCTGACAGATTTCGAAGGAGACAACGACGTCAGGTTTATGGGTAAAACTCGAAAGTCTATACATGACCAAATCATTGGCAAATCGCCTCTACCTGAAGCAAGCTCTATATTCATTCAAGATGAGTGAAGACAAAGTCATGGCTGAGTAATTGAATATGTTCAACAAGCTGATTCTTAATCTTAAAAATATCAATGTGAATATCGAGGATGAAGATCAAGCGTTATTGCACTTGTGTTATTTTCCTATATCACATGCTCACTTCAAGAAACTCTCTTGTATGGAAGAGAGTCACTGACCTTTGAAGAAGTTCAATCATCCTTGTATTCTGAGGATTTGAACAAACAAAAGGAGAACAAGCCATCTTCGACTGGTGAAGGTCTGTTGGTTAAGAAAAAATTCACAAAGAAAGATGGCAAGTTCGACAAGAAGAAGGGTAAAAGTCAACAGAAGTCTTATAGTGGTGATGCATCTGGTATTTGATGGTATCACTATAACAAGAAGGTTCATATAAGAAAAGTGTGATCTGAATGCCTGAAAGATCATGGAGGTAAGGATAATGGAAATACAACCATTGTTCAAGATGGTTTTGACTCATCTGATGTTCTTGTGGTTTCAAGCAGCAACTAAAGTAAATAGTGGATTATGGATTAAGGTTGCACTTGGCACATGACTCCAAACAAATCCTTGTTAGAGAAACTATGTGATAAATATGGTGGGCTTGTATTGATGGGAAACAATAAAGCCTGAAAGTTTGCAGGTGTTGTATCTGTGAGATTCAAGATCCATGATGAGTTAATAAGGTTGTTTACTGAAGTTAGGTATGTACCTGATTTAAAGAGAAAATTGATTTCTCTTGGTGAATTCGACAATAAAGGATATGTTTTCCAAGGAAAGAAAAGTATACTAAGAGTCATGAAGGGGTCGAAGGAAGTATTGAGAGGCGTGAAAAAACAATGCTTGTATACCCTTAAGGCTGAAGTTGTCAGTGGTTCTGCAGATGTTGCATCCACGATACCATTGTCAAAGACATAAATTTGGCACATGAGATTGGGCCATGTCAGTGAATGGGGTCTAGTCGAATTGGGGAAACAAACTCTGCTTGCTGGAGAGAAAGTCGAAAAGCTGAAGTTTTGTGAACCCTGTGTACTTGGAAAATCTTACAGAGTAAAGTTCAATAAGGGAGAAAAAAAGAACACATGGCTACCTTGATTACATCCATGCTGATCTTTTGGGGCCTACAAGGTTTCGATCATATTCAGGAGCAAGGTATTTTCTATCCATATTTAATGATTATTCCATAAAGTTATGGGTATTCATCAAGAAGACTAAGGATGAAACTTTTGAGAATTTCAAAAGTTTGAAGACTCTGGTCAAAAATCAGACTAGCATAAAGGTTAAGAGGTTGAGAATCGACAATGGCCTTGAATTTTGCAATGAGGTGTTCAACAAATTTTGTGCAGCCTCTGGCATTGCAAGGCACAAAACCATCACAAGTACTCTCCAACAAAATGGTTTGGCTGAAAGGTTATTGAACCATTTTGGAAAGAGTTAGATGCATGTTGACTAGTGCTGGATTAAAGAAGGTGTTTTGGGCAGAGGCTATTTCAATAGAAACATATCTAATAAACATATGACATTTAATTGTTCTAGATATGAAGACACATGGAGAATTCTGGTCCAGACATCCACTAGATCTCGACAAACTTAGAATATTTGACTGTGTATCCTATGCTCATATTAGGCAAGACAAGGTCGAACCTAGAGATCTGAGATGCATGTCCATGGGATACCCTGACGGAGTCAAAGCTTATAGGCTATGGTGCCAAGAGCCAAGTCACAAGAGGTGTGTCACCAGTTGAGATGTAGTTTTCAATGAAGCTGAGATGGATTTCAAGAAATTTGACGATGTTGGACGAAGTGTAGAGATATCTGAAGAAGAAATATAAATTGAACAGATTCATGTTGAGGTGGTACATGTCAATGTTGAATTGTGTATCCCAAATCAAGTAAAAGAAGAAGCACAAGATGCTGAAGATATTGAGGAACTTGAGGAAATTGTAGGTGACTATCTATTGACAAGAGATAGGCCGAGAAGAGTCATCAAGCCACCTCAAAGACTTGGGTATGAAGATATCATAAGTTATGGCTAAATCTCTACTAGTGAGGTTCTCGATGAAGAACCTAGAGACTATAAGGAAATTACAAGGATTCGAAATAAGACTGAATGAATGAAGTCCATGGATGATAAGATGAAAGCTCTTCATGGTAACCACACTTGGAAACTGATTAAGAAACCTGATGGATCCAGGTAAGTTGGTTGTAAGTGGATTTTCAAAGATACAGAAGGAATCGAAGAAGTGACGTTAAAGAGAGGCAAGATTGGTCGCAAGGGGTTTCACTCAGAGAGAAGGTATCAAATTCAATGATGAGTTCTCTTCTGTTGTGAAGCACAAATCCATTCGAATGTTATAGTCCATGGTGATATAACTCGACCTAGAACTGGAACAAATGGATGTGAAGACTACTTTCTTGTATGGAGATCTTGATGAAACAATCCTGATGAGGCAACCCGAAGGGTATGCAGAAAAGAGAAAGGAAGATTATGTGTGCAAGTTGAATAGATCTTTATATGGAATAAAATAATTTCCTCGACAATGGATAGGAGATTCGACAAGTTCATAGCACACATAGGTTTCATTAGAAGTCATCTGGACCACTATGTTTACTTCAGATTTTGAACTGGAAATTCATTTTTTATTTTGTTGCTTTATATGGATGATATTCTCATAGCAAGAAACAATGTCGAGGATGTAATAAAGGTGAATGTTGAACTCAATAAGGACTTCAACATGAAAGACCTGGGAGTTGCATCCATAATTCTTGGGATTGACATCCGAAGAGATAGAAAGCAATCGAAATTATACTTATCTCAAGAGACATACCTATAGAATATTCTCGACAAGTTTGGTATGTCGAATGCAAAGTTTGTTGTGATTCCGAGAAACCCTCAATTAAGTTTAGTATAGATCAGTGTCATAGTATTAAGGTCAAAAGAGCTTATATGAATAGCATCCCATATGCTAACACAATAGGTTCTTTGATGTAAGTTATGGTCTGTACTAGACCTGATAGCATATGCAATAAGTCTTGTAAGCAGGTAAATGTCGAATCCTAGAAAGGCTCACTAGCAAGCACTAAAGTGGACTCTAAGGTACATAAATGAGTCTCTAAATATAGTAAAGCAGTAATTGAAGGGTATGTCGACTCTAATTATGCAGGTTGTATGCATTCCAGGAAATCTATATTTGGATATGTGTTTACTATGTGTGACACATCAATTAGTTGAAAAGAGACACTTCAGAAGGTTGTCGCCTTATCAACCACTGAAGTAGAATATATCGCCCTTACTGAAGTTGTGAAAGAAGCATTGTGGCTTGAAGATTTTGCTAAGGAGCTGAAACTTCAAGGTCGAGTTATCACTTTTAGATGTGATAGTCAAAGTGTTATACACCTATCAAAGAATTCAACCTATCATGAGAAAACCAAACACATCGATATGAGGCTACATTTTGTCAGAGGGGTAATCGAGCGTGGAGAATTCCAAGTGCTGAAGGTTTCGACATATCACAATGTTGTTGATATGATCACCAAGACATTTTCAAGTTGTAAGTTTTTCCACTGTATGCAGTTGATAAAGCTGTATGAAGAAAGCTAGTTTGTTCTTTGATGTAATAGAGTTTGTTTAAAGGTGGAGATTTTTGAAATATTGGATCGAACTCTAGTATGATCGAATGGTAGCTTCTTGTTCAATAATTCGACAAGATCTTAGCATGTCATCGAAATCTATTCACGTGATGTAGTCGAAGCCCTGCAATGTTGTAGTCGAAGTATGCTCAAGTATGTAGTAGTCGAAATGCTGGGATTGTTAGCATTGTCAAATTGGGTCTGTTAGTTAAGCCCAATTGTTTAAGTTATCTTGTTCCCTAAGTTAGTTTGTGTAATGGGTACATGTGTGTAAAAGCTCATTAGTTTAGTGTATTAGTTTTTTTATAAATAGCATACTAGTCTCTCATCATTGTAATAACGCAAATCCTAATCAAGGTGAGAGAGATTATTTGTTATTCTATAACACTTGTAATCTTGTTTCAAAGAGGAAGTAAAAAATAATACTTTATAATCAATTTCATTGTGTTCTTCTTGTTTCTCTCATTTCTACTCTTATAGATTTCTTACCAATCAAAAAATCGATTATACTTTAATATTCCGACATCGATTTTCACAACACAACTCATATCCAAAAACAAAGAACATTGAAACTTTATGATTTTCTAAACAAAATTAACCATTCAAAGTGACATGCAATCTTCAAAAAACTACATGCAAGATTTCAAAAACCATGTAAGATTTAAAATTGAAGAAGATTGAGAAAAATATAGATTGAGAGGATCTAATTCCATGAAAGATAGATCTACAATTTTATGCCTTAACAACATTCACTTAAGGTTCCTCTTTCACTTGTTCGCATTCTATGGCAAAATGTCCTGGATTCTTACAATTGAAACACAACTTTTTGCCAGAAGTGCAATCGAACGCATTATGCCCAGGATCTCCGCATCGAAAGCATTTTTTCTCTCTTTTATAACCATCGCTTCCCCCCTTAAATTTATGGTCCATTGGATGTTCTTGTCCTCTATTATTCTCTTGTTTGTCACTCTTATCTTTAAGACTACTCGAATGCATCATCCTCCTAGAATTTCTTTTATTACCACCATCTTCAAGTGCAACAAGAAATAAGGGAAGAATCAGAATCATAACAAAAACAAGCTTGAGAATTGTAGCCATTTTTTTTTATATTGTGAAAAATAGAATATTATTTGATCTCTTTATAGCGTATAAAATGCATCTCCTAAAAATATTAAATGGTTTGTTAGCACTTATGAAGTATGGTGTATCAACTTGTCCCTTTAAGGAGGGCACGTAACAAATTTGTTAAATCATTAAAGTTCCTTTTTTTTAACTAACTTGCATCACTTTGTTAACCTTTCATGAGAATGAAAAGAAAATTTTCTTTTTAGACCATGGTAAAGTTACTTGTCAATAAATCATTATTGGCGTGAGAACATGTTTTTGTTACTTATGCACAAGTAGAGAATATCATTAGATCAATTTTGTGGTTGATATAAATCGTTGAATAAAAAATAATATGTATTTAATTTTGTACTTGCGTGATTTATTCTAAATTATCATTCACAGCAATTATATAATTCATTTTAATTTACAAAGTAATTTAGTTTGAAAAAATTAAATTATTTTTTAAAATTATTTGTATATATATTATGAAACAATATTTTTTTTTAATTTTGTATTTGCATGCAATAGCGAAATCAGAAGAATTATAAAATCTGAGCAAAAATGTATGTCTAATATTAATCTGAGACCGACGGTTTGGATATTCTGACGATGGAGGAGCATGCAGTTAAACATGTTGCAAGTTTAAAAAGTTCAACATAAATAATTTTTCTTAAGCTATCATAACATAATCAAATGCTAGCTTAACCTAAGTTCTTATTTTCAAGAGTTATAATACCATAGATCACTAGTAAAGACACAAATTCCTTTCCATCTAAACCAAAGACTTGGTAAACTCATATCATACCAATGAATTGTGTTATGTATCAAAAAATCAAATACCTCTGAAGTATTAGATACAAAGCAAACTCAAGAGTCAAACAAACAAAAACTACAACAAATCAAAATATACAAACTTCAATCTAGACTCGTCAAAAACATCATCAAATCAAAATAATAATAAATAAATATAAAAGTCTATGAAATCACACATTGGGACACAAGAACTCCACTTAAAAAAACTCTAGAATTTGTCCTATCAATACTCACATGTTACTCAAGTTATAATTGTGATACACACTCTAAACCATAAAAGTCTCACGCTCTCGATTATACTTTGATTTTGATCGCTAAGTATTTGTTGCTTCAATATGATCCCTGAAATGCAATCCGCATAGGTATAACTTACACGTGTTTGATTTGAAAGATGTTAAACGAATGATACGACACCAATTCTCCATCAATTTTCCAACCACAATCAATCACAACACGATAACAGCAACTCAGACCTGCAACCAAGAGATTTCAAGACAGAAAAACAAAAGAACATGGTTCAGACATTTCCCCGAACACTTGGTGTGCATAACACGAAATGATAAATTCAACAACAATTCTTTACTGATTCATAAACCACAACCTGCAATAACAATGAATAACATCACAATATTCCACATTGAAAATCAAGCTTAAAAGTGAAAGAAAAAGAAGAAGAAGAGAACTCGCAATGATTCGCTATCTAAACACGGTCACTATTCCTGAGTGAGAGAGAGAGACACGATTGACTCTGATATAGCGATTTCATGAGTGAGAGAGAGACCACTGCAATGAGATTTTGAGGTTCAGGCGAGAGAAGGAAGAGCCTGGACAGCTGCCTTATCTCGTCGGGCGTTGGCGTCTCCCCTGTTTGCATGGTATATTCACATCAATTATATAACTCATATTAATTTATAAAATAGTTTAGTTTTTAAAAAAATAATCTTTTTTATAAATTATTTGTATATATTATGGAACTGTTTTGAGTAGATTTTTTTACTGAAATAAAATCTTACTGACATCAAAAAAAAAAGAGACATCCTAACTATGTTGGCACTCTTAAAAACCTTTGTCCTCGTAGCTCATATATAATATATAAAAAAGAAAATAAGAAACATACACAGGGAAGATTGGGCTGAAACCCCAGAACAAAAACAAACAACTAAAATAAACAATTAAGAAAAATGGTATCAAGGGAATCATAACGTGTCCCTCTAAAAATTTTCTGTAATATAATCTGGAGGAAATTCCACCATAGCAAAGAGTCAATCGAATGACCATGCCCAGCCAATTTGTTCGCACAGGTATTTCCTTTCCGAAAAATATGCGAAAAACCAAATTAACACCAATAAAATTGTCACGCCATCTACTTCACAGATTCCAAGGAACAATTGATGGCTTGTTAAAAGCCTTAATGGTCACCTCTGAATCACTCTCAATTCAAATTTTAAACCAGCCTATACTAGCCGTATTTTCAATTGCCAAAATGATCGCCATTAACTTTGCATGTAGAACTGAATTATAAGAAATTTTAGTCCTAAAATCACCCAAAAAAATTTCATATGATCACGAAATAAAGCTCCATAAGAAGCAGAGCTATTGACAAGGGAGTCATATGTATTCGCCTTCACTCAAAACAAAATCGGGGCCTTCCAAATAACCAAATTAATCTTCGGAGCCTTTAAGCAACATTGTGGAATAAAGAATCTGAGAAGAATCAATGTCTGAATAATCACTTGCATTATAACTTTAAGAAATTTTGGCTCTCATGGAGGTTGTGGAAAATCTTCATTTTCTCGACATGAGACTTAGCGGAAACATTACTGAAACTGGTAATATTATGAGTCATCCAGATTGTGTGAAAAGTGTGAATAATTGAGTATATTTAATTTTCAAGTGAATGTACAAAAAAAAAAACACATATCTATTTGATTATAAAATGAATGTGTATTTGATAATATATATTTTATTCAGATATAAATGACAGTTCAAATACTCATGTTGTGATAATGAGAAGGTTCAATTTCAATCAATACTTTGATATGTGAGACAAAGAATACTAGCAACTAAATTAATGGTTTTCAACAATAATAACCAATAAGTAGAAAGTTTATCAGAAGAAAATAAGGTGAGAAAATGAGAAAGGTTTGTTTATTCAACTCGATCAAAAGATCTATGTCTGAGGGAGATAACAACTCTCCAGTAAACTACTCAGAAAGTTGTCACAAAAGATTACAAATGAGTTACAAAATAATAGTCTTCACCTTCAGAGTTCCCAAGAACTAACTCTGAAAGATCCCATGAGAAAATCTCTAATTTCCACCCAAGTGTTTCTCAACCTCTCTAACTTTCAATATATAAATCACTCAAACCCAAGATTTTAGAAGAATTTCTCAATCCCCTTATATAAATCCAAAGGGTTCCCAAACACCCTTGTCTTTCTAAGGTTTCCCTTAGAATTTCCTAAACCCTTATTTCTCCCTTTTGCTCTAAAATACTAAAATTGTTACATTGTAATAACAGAAGCGATACATATTTATAATTACTAAAAATTCAACAGATCCATAACAAAGCCCAAAATAAAATCCATTATATATTAGAATAAAATATTATAAATATTATAAATATATTTTATATTAATTTATATTATTTCTAAACTAACATAAAATATATATCCAATATTCTAACATCAATGAATAGATCTGCAAACCGAACCGACCAAATATGATATCCGTGAACCGCCCAAATCAGAAATTCTCGATGCTCTCAGGATTCTTGATTTTTGGAAATCTCGAAACATATTTTCTTTCTCTTCATCAACAAAGGTTTTAAGGTATAATTCAATAATCTCCACCTTGACTTTAAACTGTGTTGATGTCAATTTAACCATCAACCACCTTGCTTCTCTCTATCATGTTGAAACTCTAATTAATAATTTTGATCAAACTCAAGGCAACTTGAATCTTGATCTCGCCACATGCATCCACTTGTTTCCAATTACCCTTTTCTGCCTAGGTAATCTAATAAACCCAGTATGATTCTTCAACCATCGTCGACTCCACATGCCTTCAAACGCATCCCCGAAATCCGTGTTTCTGTATTTTGCAACTCTTAGCCACATTCAAAGCATAACATCCAAGGAAAGCATAATCGTCCCTTTGAGATTATATAATCCCCCTCCTTACCTTATCATGAGTCAAATGATAATCATATATCTCTATAACCGTTCTCTCACTACTGTTAGTATCTATAGTAGGAAACTTCACCTCAAACTGAGTTTTCTCCATTATAGTTTCTAACACGTTTATCCCTTGGTTTTTATTGTTCTTCCTCTGAAGAAATTATCTACCAACTAGTAAGTTTCTTTGACATCATCCATTCCCCAAAAACTCAATAACAACTCAGCGGTCACATGCATTTTTATCCCTTTTCACCATGGTAGACGCCAATTATTGTGATAATAACAGTTTCAATTCCAATCAACACTTTGGTATGTGAGGTAAAGAACAATAGAAACCAAAATAAGGCGAGAAAAGGTGAAATGTTTGTTTACCATTTCGATCAAAAGATCTATGTCTGGGTCTTCAATTCACTATACTCTGAAAGTTGTTATAAGAGATTACAAAGGAGTTAGAAAATAGCCTTCACCTTCAGAGTTCCCAAGAACTAACTCTGAAGACTCCCAAGAATAAATCCTTATTTTTTACCCAAGTGTTTCCCAAAAGCTCCAACTCCCAATATATGAATCACTAAAACCCAAGGTTTTAGAAGTATTTCCCAATCCCCTTAGATAACTAAAGTTTTCCCAAGAACCCTTGTCTTTCTAAGGTCTTAGGATTCCCTAAAGCCTTATTTATCCCTTTTACTCTAAAGCTCTAAAATTGTCACACTATAATAACAGAAGAGATACATATTTATAATTTCTAAAAGCTACTATATTCACACTAATGTATTCATTTTTGTGCAGTTTATTTTTTGTTTTAGGTGAATAAAGGACTCATAGTGAAGAAATTAAGCTGAAATTGAGATTGGAAATGTTTAAAAAGATTTGATACCAAATAGCACGACAAAACCACTAAAATTGCAAAATCCCCCTTCATTTCCCTTGGGCCTACCCACCTTTTGATTACCCAATTAAACAAATGTAACCTCATTTAAACCCTTAATAATTATATTTTCAC